GTGTGCGCTAGCGCATTAAAATGTATGGGTAGCATTGTTGTAATTTTTGGGCTTGCGGATTCGCAACGACAGAATCGCGCCAATGTGCGCTTCGCTTTAATCTACCTCACACCTTTTATAACGGAGCATGAGAACGTAAAAAATTTAAATATATGCGAGTTTTGAGAACAAATTAAACTCATTAATAACGAACTGAATGTCCTATATTTGCAAACATTTTAAAACTAGCTCAAGGTATATTGTCTATTCCACATTCCTCCGCAAATGTTGAACGTGTCGTTCCTGTTCAGAATCTGATATAAACTAATAAAAGCAAAAGATTATCAAATCTTCTCAAAGTGTTTGTCATGATATACAAATACACACAGAGTCTTTAAACCAAAATGTGACTTACGATCTCACAGAAAGTGAAATACTTAACTACTTTTTATTGTACTTTTAATACTACATACAAAAATGTCGCTCAGCCGCTCACAAATGCCGCTCTGAGCATGGCAACTTCAGTGGTATTTCATATGTTTTAATTAAGCCGCTCATTGCGTGGCCTCGGCCTTAATGTACGTTTATCCATACGAAATTCGTCACCTAAATGCAACTCCATTTCTGCATTAAGAGTCTAAATGCCAAAATCAACCCTAGGATCTTCAAAAATTTCCACGATTCGAACATGGTTTATTGAAAGAAAGTGGCAACATTGCATTTTCGCGTGTACAGTTGCTAGCTGCGTTTCAGTGATCGCCGATCGAGATTTCATTTATTATTTCACATTATTTGGAAAAAGAAAAGTTACACAAATTCAACATCGATGTGATATTAGGTTCATTCCTTATCTTTTTGGACTAAAATCTGAAAAGTGTCAAAATGCCAGAGCGTAAGCAAAATGCGCTCACTAAAAGAGAATAACAGGAAAAGTAAAGGAACGCAAAAAACCAAATTTTTAGTCCAAAGAATGGCAACAACAAAACTAACGTCAAATAAGAACCGAAATGTATGTACAAAACACATTCACACAAGCACAAGCACAATAAACACTTGCTATATCAATTATTTTTTGCCCTCTTCCAATTTCAATTAATTTCTTTTACTTTTTAGATTATTCTCACTTTTAGCGTATTCTTTAATTTCCGTTAATTTAAATTCAGTTGAGTTTGACACTTTTCAGGATTTTGCCAGAAAAAATTCTTCTGACTAAATCTGACTACTTCGGACTGATGAGAGTCACTCTCACTGACTGTTGCTCTCTCATTTTTGCTGTCATTTCCGAGTTAAGGAACGCTTTTTGGACTAAATCTGACTACTTCGGACTTTTTCTGACTATTTCTGGGAGATAAGGAACGCTCTTACTGATAGAAATTTGGCCCAATTTGTGATCAACTCTGTTTTTTTTTTGTTCTATTTAATTGAGGAAATTTCAATTAACAGCACCGACAAATGAATATATACAAATTTTCAGGTATTGTTAAAACAATTCAAGTTCTTGTATTGAATTTTTTGTTTAAGATTTATATTTCCCTTTTCAGTAAGGATTTGCATATTATCTTCTCTGTGCGAATTGGTCGTGTTAGATACGGATCTGAATAAGCGACTGGAACGCGGTTGTTTGTCAAAAGCATGATCCAATTACACTAGATCTGACAAGATGAACCAAAAGCAAAAAGTAATTTTCTGGCTGACATTTGTAATTTCGGCGCCATGTTATTTTCTTTGAAAAGTAATCAAAGAATGAGAAGACGAAGCATAAAGAAAAAAATGCAAGCAATTTTGTAGCACATGCTTGTGCTAACCAATTTATTATTTATGTACGTTTTTTCAACCAATCACCGCGCACTTCATTTTAATTACATTTGAACAAAAAATTTATTGAAAACCGCTTAAAAATTACTGAAATAAACCACCGACAAAATACACATAAAGAAGAAGCAAAACAGAAATAGCAAACTTCAATATTACGAACGCCATAAACTTCTTTTCTCAATTGCTATTACAAATGGCTGCTTCTCAACCGGTCAGATCTGTTCTAATTGGTTCATGTGTCAGAAGTATACGATTTCGAACTCGCGTAAACGGACATTTGCTAAATGCGATAGCATGAACGCTCTTTGAAAAATTATGTTCGAAGGTGCTAAATGTTGCTTTCTAAATTAAAACAAATTAAAATTGATTGGTGAAACCATAAATTCGAAAATTAAAGTTATTTTCATTTAAATGAGTCCGGTGAAACGCCACCTTAATGTTTATTAAGCAAAAAATGCACTGCTTTTATAAATTTTCGGAGGTTGGTATCACTAACCGCAGTTCATTCTGATTGGTTCTACGGAAAGAAGAAGAAAGTTTATAATTTTTGCTAAAGTGCGAAAGTCGATTTTGTGAGACATGCAAAATTTTCATTAAAATGGATGCTAAAGAAAAAAGTACACCTGCTCCCATGGAAGAGTTAGCGCTAGGAGATGGTGATAAATATTAAATTCCTAGTTATGGTGCGTTTGGTTCGTATTTATTGATTGTTCTTAATCTTTCCACAGAAAATTTGCCAGAGCTTATCGAAAACCTTCGGGAAGACCAAAAGAAAATGCAAAAGGAATTCAATGCACAGCGCGCGAAAATGAAGGATCTTTTCCTGCAAAAAGAAACAGAACTGACAAAATGTCAAGCGGAACGCAAAAACTTGCAACGCGAACTGGACGAGCTGAAGAGCCAATTTGTGGTGGCCGATTTGAAGTCGGAAAATGAGTTGCGGGTGAAAGAAATGAAGGCACAGGAGGAAATATCTTCGTTGCAGCAATTAGTACAAGGTTTGGCACGTATAATTGGTTTTCTAAAAAATTTTATTTAATACAACTTTGTGCAATGTCTAGATACAATTGAGGAGTCCACAATACTAAAGGCTGAATTAGAACGATTAAAGGAAGAAAGCAATCGACTTTGGCAGGAAAATCGGGAATTCCGGGAAAATATGCAACAGCAATCGGAATCAACTGGTTTAGCGCCGCAGCAAGTTTTAAATCACGTAAAGAAAACCTTCCGTAAATTTGGTGGCGAATCTGCCGGCAATGTATTATCAAGTAGTTTTGGCCCTCAGGAAAGCATGGATGACAACAATAAAAACAAAAGTGGTAAAAAAGATTATGTAAGTATAATCTAAGTTCATTCTAAATCGAAGCAAGCTAACAAAAACAGTATCTAACAAAAACTCTGCATACATTTAGGCGCATGAGGATGCAGAAGTACTGCGTTCGATAGTGGTTCAATTGCAGGAAGAAATGGAAGCATTGAAAGGAAAGTTGCGTGAAACAGATGATAAATTGAGAAACCAAGAAGTCAGCACAGCGGCAAATGTGGCGTCGAAAGAAACTGATACACCTAAAAATGATCTAGCCATAAATAAATCAACTTCCATAGATATCAGTGCTATTTCCTGTGATGCCTGCTTGCAATATGAAAACCAAATACAAGAATTGCAGGCAAAGAGTGTTGAAGATAAAGCCACAATTATTGCAATGCAAAAAGCAATAGCAATGTCGCGCGAAGATCTACAAAAAGAGGCTGCTCTACGCAAAGACCTTGAGGACCAATGGCAAGAGCGGCGCGAAGCTCACAAAACAGAAGTACAAAAACTGCGAGAGCAAGTAAAATCAAACGAAGAGCAGTTACTGGAGTTGCAGCAAAAGTTTCTCGATACAAAGGAAGAGGTAATGCGTCAACTGCAACGCGTCACAGACGAGCGAGAACGCGTCAACAAACAATTGGAAACTTTACAGGCTGACAATGACTTTCTTTCCGGACGTTATTTGGCCTCATCGGAGGAAATTGAAAGCCAAGAAATCAATTTACCCAACACTGTTGAAGAATTGCAGGAATTGATATTGCAACAACAAAACGACCTTATACAAGCGCGCGTGAGCAGTGAATTTGAGCGTAAAAAGTGTGTAACATCGTTGGATGAAATTCAAATTTTGCGCGATCAGTTGGAGAAAAGCAATAACGAGCGGCTGGCGTACAAGAAGAAGATGCAAGCTGATAACAAGTCGTGGCAGTAAGTGGACAATAAGACTAGTGTATGTTTTTACCTGAAGAAGAATGCAGCTTTACTGAGCGGAAATATGTAAATGAAAATGTACTAACTGTTTAGTATTTTTTTCATTTTTATTGTTTGTATGTGCAGAAATAAGCACAGATTTTTTTTTATTAAATGCATCCTTTATTTTGTTGCACCGTTATAAATACTTAACCTATGCTCCAAATTCGTTTTCTCAGAGATCGCTTGACCGAGCATTTGTTGAAAATTCAAACCCATGAAACAGCCAAGGCTACGCTAGAGCGAAAGGAAGCTGAGCTGAATAGGCAGCTATCGAAATTTCGTGTTGAAGTAATCGAATTGCAGGATTCCATTGTAAGTTTTATTCATAGTTGGCATCATCCACTACTGTAATTACTTCCTTTCCTTTCACAGGAAAAGTTAACCAAAATGAATGCAGACCAAAAGGCAAAAATAAAAATTCTTCAAGACGATTTAGCCACAAGCGAGCAGGTGCAGAAGGATTTTGTGAGATTGTCGCAAAATTTACAGGTGGAAATTTATTATTAATTGTATTATTTTTACTTTATTTTTTATTTAATTTTCTCTGTAGATGTCCTTGGAGAAGCTACGCAAATCTGACACGGAGGTGCGCTGGCAGGAAGACGAGGATGTAGATAATTGTCCCACATGCAATACCTATTTCACAGTGACAGTACGTAAAATTCACTGTCGTCATTGTGGCCATATCTACTGTGACAAATGTCTGACGAAAACGGTGCCTTCGGGTCCACGAAAAAAAATTGTACGTGTCTGTGATATTTGCCATACTCTGTTAACACCAAATACAGCGCCCTACTTTAGTCAGGAACCCCTGCCAAATAACTAAACAAAAATGCGCTATTTCATTTATACTTACTCTTAAGTACTGGGTACTAAATTTAAATTCATTTAGATAGTCTGACAATTTAAATGTCTCGTGAAATTTATTTTCGTTGTCGTCTTTAATATGTTTAATATCTACTCAGAAAAACGAAGTAGAAATAACTAATTTAAATAACAACATTCGAAATATTGAACATTTTCTTTGTTAAATGTATATGTATGTAAAGTAAAACAAAGAAAGAAAGCAGGCATATCCAGTCATAGCTCCACTCATTAAATGAGTAACATTTTTGTTTTTGCTTCACGCAAAGAAAGTATTGCTAATAAACTATTGCCAACAATATATGTATGTAAATGTACATGTATATTTTATTAAAAAAAAAAGCAAAAACTAGTATAGTGTGCAAGTTGAAATAAAATTTAAAATATATTTAAAGCTTTTATTTGTATAACTAAATGCATGCCACTGGAATGCAGCACGCAATGTGCTGCAGATACATACATAAGTATGTATGTATAAGCAAAATGTCTGCGTAAGTAACGAAGCGAGTCATGGTCATTACACAATCTCCTGTTAGTGGTACAGCGATGAACGCTGTTTCAAACGATCAATTAATGAAAATCTGAAAATAGATAAAATTTAGATAATAAGTGTTAAATTTTCAAGATATATATGTATTCATATGGAATAGTGGCTTATATCGAAAGGTTGAGTTTGGTATAATACGAAATTCGCAGCATACGATTATTTATTTCATAATTGATTTTATTGATTGATTATAAAGTTCCATTTATTACGACCCCTTGATTTTTAAGGTTAAACGATTGAGATTACTTCTAGAATTAAAACTTTTTAAACAATTTTTTTTATTTATTAACTTTTTTTTATACATAAAGAAATACTAACAGGAAGTCAAAGTGAGATCTGAGCTACATATGATGATGCCCATCAAATTTCCGTTGTGTTCGAGAATTTTTCTTATACTTGTTAACCCGGGAAATCAGAAATTTTAAAAATACAAATTTCATAAAATTGTTTGTTACTTTATTAGGACACTTTCAGGGCTGTTGTTTGTCTATTTGAGTGAATACCCCTTACGATTCGTTCAGTTTTCCGCACCTATGAACATACCTCACCATAATGATTGACCCAGCAATGTGCCAAAGAGGGAGATCACCAGCGCAACAGCCAAGCTAAAAACTGTATTTCCTGTAACTGTAAACAAATTATTCATACTTGTGGAAATTAAACAAAGTTCAACAAACCATATTTTATAAGCTGATGAAAAAAATAGTAAGCGAGTGGATCGGATGAAAAATGAATAGCATATTCACAGATGCGAAGTAACGAAAACATGTTTTTTGCCAGTTTTTAAAACTATTTTGAAGCTTGAAAGCTATTTACGCGATTTCTCAAATTCGAAAAACCAAGAAGTTTCATAATGTTTCCAGTTATATCAAAGCTATCACACTTTCGAGGTTTTCGATGGCTTTTCCAGCATAAGGGAATATCCCAATCGATGTTTTCGTTGCAGTATGTAAAAATGTAAATACATAAATGTTATGGAAAAAATGATAAGCACAAACCTACATATCGTCCAGAGCTGGGTCGTAATGATTCCTTTAGGAATTAAATTACTCCCAATTACAGATTACAAGGAATTGTAATTAGGAATCAATTCCTTCAGTCCACAGCAAAGGAATCGATTACTTTTTCAATTCCTTGAAGTAATTTCAAATGTAATTGGGTTTTTCTTTAATTCCATTACAAGGAATTTCATATTGTAATTGGAATAAATTACGTGCTAGTAATGTAATTTTTTTTTCCAATTCCTTTGAAAGGAATTGAAAATGTAATTGATTTTTTTTCAATTCCATTACCTGGAATTGCAAGAGTACTTTAGTTTTTCCAATTACTCAAAGGAATTGTAAAAGTAATCGAGAAACTGAAAGTTCATTCACGAATATACAATGTGGAATTTTTGTTGTGGTCAAAGATTAAAATCGAAAGCACACATTGGACATCTTCTATGTATATCTATATATATATAAAAATGTTGTGTTCGTATGTCACGGTCATCAAAACCCGAGAACGGCTGAACCGATTTGAATAATATTTTTTTTATTATTCGGTATAATGCCAGAACCAATGATATCGCAAAAATTTTGTGGGTTGCCACCTATTTTAAAATTTAATTAATTTAAAATCAATGAATTATTACAATATGGGTATTAAGTTAAAGAGGTTTAAGAAAGATAACTGCTGGAAGTATTTTTGACGAGGGTGGCCTCCTATTTGAAAATTTAAACTCAGTCAAATTGTTAAAAAAAATTAAATATTGCCATGTGGGTGTCAAACTAAAGAATTTTAAGAAGGCTTACTGCCGAAAATATGTTTGAGGAGGGTTGCCATTTGTTTGAAAATTTAACTAAATTACATTGATAAAATAAATAAAATATTACAATATGGGTATCAAATTAAAAAGGTTTGAGAAAGATAACTGTTGGAAATATTTTTGAGGAGGCTGCCACCTATTTGGAAATTGTAACTCAGTTAAATTGATAAAGTAAATGCAATGTTTGCATGTGGGTGTCAAACTAAAGAGTTTTAAAAAGGCTTACAGTCTACCATGAACACTTCCAGAAATATGCAATATGAAAAGTTCGGTTTATATGGGAGGTGCCACACGCCATTCTCCAACCATGCAAATTTTTCTCCATGAGTATGGAATTGGTCTTATTTATGTATATAGATATCACCATACCCAGTTCTAGTCCTCTACCACAAATATATGCAGTTTGAAAAATTCGGTTTGTATGGGAGGTGCCACGCCCCCTTTCTATATCGAAACTTTTTTTAGCTATAACCATCCTTGGAAAGCCTGCAGTAGATTCCGAAATTTCAAAAAAATCGGTACGGCCTTTCTCGAGCTTTGCGAACAGAAAAAAACGCCTTTGAAAATATATATTAGTATAGACTAGCCAAACTCTGCTTGTTTTGCGGGTTAAAACACTACTACCGATGAAAATCGATGGATAAATAAACAAGTTTGCAAGGGTTATGTGAAAGTGCATTAATTTTTTGTATGAAATACTAGCAGGAAATTTAAAAAAGCTATTGCAATTCAACAGTAAAAATTTTTTTTTTTATAAATTTTTCGATTACTTTTTAAATTACTTTGAGGAATGGAATTGGAAAAAAAATCAATTACATTTTCAATTCCTTTCAAAGGAATTGGAAAAAAAATTACATTTTCAATTCCTTTCAAAGGAATTGAAATAAAAGAAATTACATTACAAGCACGTAATTTATTCCAATTACAATATGAAATTCCTTGTAATGGAATTAAAGAAAAAAACAATTCCATTTGAAATTACTTCAAGGAATTGAAAAAGTAATCGATTCCTTTGCAGTGAACTAAAGGAATTGAATCCTAATTACAATTACTGAGGAATGTAATTGTAATTGTAATGTAATTGCATTTACCCAGCTCTGATATCGTCGTTTAAGGTACAAAACCGCGTATCGTCGGTCTGCAAAACCGCATAACTGACACTTTTTGCCAAGAATTGGATTTGCCCACCGATGTTCTTGGCTCAAGCCTTATCCATTCGTCCTGAAATATATTAGCCAGTAAACGATTGCTTTATAAAAAAGATAACCATTTTGAAATATGAGTGTTTTCACTCTCTACAAAATAATTTATGCAACCTCACTTACGCGGCTTTGCATTATGTTGATACGCGGTTTTGTACTTTAAACAATGATATGTATGTATGTATGTATGTATGTATTTTTTACAAGGACCGTAATCATCTATACATATGTATAATAAAATTGTAACAGGCTGATGTCTGTACATTGTAAATATTAAAGAAAAATTAATATGGGGTGTTGTTATTAGAGCAAAAGAAGCCAAATCAACACTTTTTTCGAATTCTTGTCTGTCTGTCTATCTGTATGCTTGTACGCGCTTCACTCGAAAACTATTGCATGGAATCGAATGCCTAGCTTAAAATATCGAAGGCCTAACTTAAAATATAGAAATAAAAAGCAAGAGAGATGCCACCTGTTTGAAAATAGCAGTTTAGGTAAATTAATGAGATAAATTAAATATTGCAATACCGCTGTTCAAAGAAAGAGGTTTAAGAAGGCTTACATCCGAAAAAAATTTTGTGGAAGGTTGCGTTTGAGAATTTTAATTTAAGTTAATTAATAAGATAAATTAAATATTGCAATATCAGTATCAAACTAAAGAGATTTAGGTAATTTTATTGCCGAGCATATATTTGAGTGGAGTTGCCACCTGTTTGCAAAATTTTATTCATTTAAACTGATGAAATAAATGAAATATTACAAAGTTGGTGTTTAACTTAAAAGGTTTAAGAAAGTTTACTGTAGAAAGTATTTTTGAAGCGGGTTGCCACCAATTTGAAAAATTCAATTCAGTTAAATTGATACGTTAATGTGAATATTGAATTAGTACACCTTTGAAGAAAGTGCGCGAATGCAGACTCGAGTTACAAGATTATAAATTAAATTTCCAGGAGATATCCGAAACTCTACCTACTTTCTAATACCTTGGAAAATATATTAGTTATCATACACATTTATAAAAAATAAGTAGTTAAGTATAAGTATAGTTAAGTTAACTATAGTTAACTCAGGGTCGGCTTCTCTTTAAATCAATTTTATTTTTTATGAATTAGGCCATACGAGTTTTGGGAGGCAGTAACAACACAAAAATACTTTTTTAAAGCGCAGTGAGGCACGCCGGGTATTTGCAAGTTATAAGTAAACAAATTTCAATTTGTATTTAATCATTACTTTATGATTATTTTTTTCGCTTAAAAATAATGACACCTGTTAGTATTCTAACTTTCTAATTTCGGAGGTTAATTAAGTTTTGGAATAGCACCCAGTAGACTATTTACCCGGCGCAGTCCAACGCGAACTTAGATTGCTTAGTGCATTCCTTTCCTTACTGAGCTCTCCCTCGGAAGTGTTACGACAATGTCCCAGGAACGGCTTGGGGTTAATTCGAGTGATGGCTGCCGCACAGTGTGCTTTTTAAACACTCCATGGGAATTAATCGTAGCGCTTTCGACAGAAGCAATATTTTGATATGAAACAAATAGTTTTGAAAGCTAATGTTATTCTCTCTCATGGAAAAATACTGCCATTGACCCACAACTTCGCCTTGACCTAAAAAACAATTGGTCAAAAATAATGTTCTTCGAAAAAAACACGCAAAATCCTCCGGATTTGTTCCAAAAAAAAATTTAGTGTATGTTTTATTATACACAAATGATCTTAGGAATCAATGCTAGAGCCCCTGAATTGAAAAATTGTTCTGACTTTTTTTCTTACTTTAGATATCATGTTTTGTGACCGGGTGCTACTTCATGAGAATATGAGTTTGTGCTATGTATTAACGAAAGCTATGTATTATGGAAAGCAGAAGTTATAGTATATAGCTCGTTTACTAGGAGAACGTCATATTCCAAAGAATCAACAATTTTGAAAACAAACGACGTTGAGGTGTTTTTAGTGAGTTATCTTTCCTTCAATTAAAATAACTAATAACTAAAAAATATAATAAATATGTATAACCACAAAAATTAAGGATAAAATCTTAATTTCACTTTCCTTTCTTTGGTCAAAAATGGACTACTTTCTAGTAACATTCAAATTCTCTCGTTTGAGATGCAATTAGGGAATATCGTTTTGATTTTTTCATACATATGGAGATAATTTTTTTTTTTTTTTAGTTTATGACATTCTTCCAGGAAACGAGCGAAATGTGCATACATACATAAATATATCTGTGGCCATAAGCAATAACCGCCTAAGTCGAAAAACCTGATTTCGAGAAAAAGCTTTTTAAATATTTGAATTGTAATGTTAACCTTATGGGAAACCAAAATATGGTCGTCCATAACTTTTTAAATAGCCTGGCTAGCGAGATGGAAATTTCACATACACATGTTATAGTAGTTGAAGAATACCTTATCATATATAACTCAATTCTTTCTTGAGTCGGCTTAGGCGGTTATTGCTTATGACCACAGATATATGAACATATGCACACACGCGACCCTTATATGTAAAATGGTAGATGCTGCCTATTATATGTATATGTATGTACATATTTACAGATGTTTTTAAACCTGTGTCCCTGCTGCATTAATGAAACAATTTATAATTTTATTTAATACAATTTTTAATAACTTGTTTTTCCATTTTTTTTTTGTAAATTTCTTTCTTGTACAATTGCAATGTGAATATTTTCTAATTACATATAATATGTATGTATGTATAATATTTTAGCAATATGCTGTGAGACAATAACAACAACAAAAGACAAATGAACTGTATAATGAGTCGAGATTTCTGATGGTTCTATGTATGTGTAGTTTCTTAAATTCTTGCTTCATAGCGCATCGTCACCTGTTGGTGCCGCACTGTTTGAAAGTGACAGCTCGCCGCCATATTTCGCCAGGAATTCAACAATAACGCCATTGCTCCAGCCAAAGCCTTCTTGTACCTCATACTCACCGCCGCCGCCATGACCTCCAAATTTTAATGCATCGTACTGTATGTGAGAAAGAGAGAGAGAGAAAGAGAGATCATAAAAATATAGTAACATTTTTTTCGCAGCTAACACCAACCTTTTCAAACATCGCCTGCGTCTGTTTGTATGCCTCGAAATTTGACTTCACCCATCGATGTGCCCATTTTTCTGAAAGATTCTTTGCTTCGGGCGTGTCTAAGTTCTCCAAACCGACAACGAGCAGATATTGCATTGGTGCCCAAACATTTGGAAAGTCCCATTGTTCGCCCGTATTTGCGAGAGTATTTGGCACGCCACCAGGATAACTGTCCAAATTCAACTTTTCAATATATTTTAGCACAGATGCCGAGAGTCGTTTCGAGTCCAAAGCATTGAATGCACCTGTCCAGAGTGGTGCCAGATTGGTGGGCACAAAGTAGTCACGCGGTTTCTGATTGATTAAATCGTAGTCCAACCAAACGCCGGCCTCATCATTCCAGTGCACCACTTGGATGGCCTAGAAGCGAAAAATTAAAAAAAAAAAAAAAAAAAAATTAGTCGAGCGCTGTAATATTAAAAAAAAAATTGCACCCAGCTTTCTAAAACCTTCGTCATTCGCAAAAATATATATATGTATATAACGCCAAAGTAGACCTTGAAAAGCGAATGAAGTGGGTATTTTTAGTTTTATTTTCAGATAGCCAACCGGCCAATCGGGACCTCTTCGGCCGCATGATAAATCCAAGCCTGTTAAGGACTTCTTCGATAAGCTTAAACATTTAACAGTGAGAAATACAGTACGACGGCATTGAGCGCGTGGATACTACGGGGCCATAAGTAACGCGATCGCCTAAAAGTTGGCACGAAAAAGATTCTGAGTTGTATTTATGGGACCGAGATGATTTTGTGGTCTCAGTTGGTCTTCTTCGAAAGAAATAATCACTAATTAGTGTGTAAACTTAGAGGGAAGTACATAAGTGCGGTTGAGCAGTAAGACCGCCTATCAGACCACACTCTTCGCTTATATTTTTGATAGGAACGATATTAGTCCCCTAAATAGAGCAGATCACGGATTACTCTTTGGAAAAGGAATTTAAAATAGAGCTTTGCAACAAATCAACTTGAGATATTCTTGGTTGGTTTAAGTGGATTTTCCTGGTGACAAGCAGTTAGCAAGTTTGCCATTTTGATTCCACAACTCGTGCAACCTACAGCCATTTGGCGGCTAAAATGAATTTCAGTACGTCATACAGAGATAGGTAGCTGTACTCTGAAATAATCTGCAGGTATGGTTTGCCGAGTGTCTTCAGCCACATTCCCGCGAGGGCTGGACACTCGCCCAGAAAGTGTTCGACTGTCTCTTTTGAGCGGGGGTCATCGCAATTCCGACCGAACTTATTGAAGGGCAATCCAATCCTTTCATCATGTACCTAAACGGGTCAGTGCTCTGTGTACACTGCAGTAAATTTGTAAGTACATACATCAATATTATGTTCGCTTAAGTACCCGCATCGAGGTACTTAAGCGGGCTCTTTTAAGTACCCAATCCGTATAAGTACCTCAAAAAACTGACATTTTTCATGAGGAACTTAAGCGGGGTTTACTGTATCTTCTTTGCTCATTCCTAAAAGAGCTTTGGGTTTTAGGTAGTTCCACCTCTGCTTGGTCCTCGAGTGGTAAAGTACGAAAATAAAAACGGCTCTAAGCCTCCAGAAGACGTTGGCGTTGGTTTCCAAGGCCACTAGATAAGGTTGTAGAAATTCCCGAGCATTTTTAAGCCGAAGGTCCACGCCATTAGTCTATGTGCTAAGATTAACTTACGTAGAATTTAATGAGAGCATTTTAGTCTTTAGCAACAGCCAGACTAAAGGCTTTGTTATCTTTTAATTAGGCAAACCAAACAACTTTGCCAATTGCATCTCTCCTTTGCATATTTGCGCCAGTTGTTCATCCCAAGTGCATTTGGTCCTTCCATTTTTTGTGGTAGCTCTTATTATTTACGCTTTGAACCATTAAATTGAAAAAGTAGCACGAGAGTGAAACGTCTTGTCTAAAACATCGTTACGGTATCAAGCGAAGAGGAGAAATCATTCCCAATTTGCACGGAGCTGAGGTTGCGCTCAACGTCACTCTAAATAGCCGTATTTTTCACGGATCCCAAATTTAGACCTGGCGTTGTATATGCAGCATATCTTCGTGCTATAAAAAGCGGCTTCAAGATCGATCAAAATATGGTGTTTGTCGATTTGTATATCTAGTTTCTTCTCCAGGATTTACCATCTGAAGCCACACTAATCAGGTTCAATAAATTGGTTCTTGATGGGTTGCAGTCTTTCACACTGTTTCGTCGACAGGGCCTTATAAGCAATATTAAGAAGGCTTATTCTGCGATAATTGGCGCAAACGGCGGCGTCTACCTTATTGTGGATTGGACAAAGCACGCTAAGATTCCAGTCTTCGGGCATGTATTCATCTGATCAAATCCTGTTTAATAGCTGGTACCAGCACTTGTTGTTGTTGTAGCGGCTAACAGAACCCTGCCAAGTTCCTCAATCGTTGTCGTCAAGCTCAACTAACAAGAGACCCAGGAAGCGTGTAGCTTCTATGGGTTTTGTCCATAGGGACAGAGACGTTAGTTGAGTAAGGCTTAGGGGGCGTGCGAAGTGATGTCTCGAGTCGTGGGGTGTCTCTCCGGGCACTCGTTGGGCACATCTGCATCTAATCTGCCCAGGTACGAGTTTAACATGCAGCAGTAGCCAGAGAAAAATTTGGCTATTATGGTCCGAGTCTCCGAAGCTCTGTCTCGTCCACTTCTGGCGCTTGTGTTCCCAAAACGGCACTGACAGGTCGAGAGTCATTGTAGATCTCTACTGATTCCCTGTGAATGTCCCGTTTATGGCCTGTCGTTATGCTGTAGGGTCCAGGGGTTGTTTTATGATGTTGTGGCGGCATCAGAAGACATCCACTGCATCTTACTAGTCCCCACAGTCGCTGCATAGTTTAAAACCGGCCGGCCAATTGCCTTGTACAGCTAACTCTCGTTGCCAACAACGTTTCTTTGTATTTATCCCAGGTGCTGCCGGCTAGCGACCTGAGGACCTTGTTGCGGCTTTGTACTTTATTGACAATTGCGATTGTGTGCTCCGAGAAGGAGAGCAGACTATCGAAAGTACTCCGATAATTTTCGGTTTATTCACCATCGGCATCGGCATAGTATAACCTCCTTCGTCCAGATGGTAAAAAGGGTTGCCAAGGACTTTGTAGTGGAGAGGGTTCGGCTCCTTGCAGTGAAGAAGCGAGAAAGTTTGGATAGGTACTTTCGAGCACGAGTCATCAATTCTATTCCCAGACACTATTTTCGAGCAGTCGTCAGCATAAGAGACAATCCAGACTCCCTCTGGTGGTTGAGAGAGATTTGTAAAAATTAAACAGAAGCGGAGAAAGGATACCACCCTGCGGAACCCCCTATTTAATTCTTCTTGGTTTGCTGGTTTTGTCCCTAAAAAGTTTGAGTTCCGGTAGGAGAGAGGAAGCCTAAATGCCTTCGAGTAGCATGTAGTGACTGACCATGTCAAATGCCTTTGACTGATAAAATGCTACTGGGACTGTTCTCTCACCCGTCTTTCTTCACCGTCAAAAAGGTTAACGTGTGTTTTTTCGCCGTCGACTAAGTTTAGGCGCCTTTCTTTATTGAAGTTTGTTTTATGCGTCTTTTTTCGCGGTCGACTTTTGAGGTCGCGCCTTTATTCGTGTCTAGTGACGATATACTCTAGTAAAGAGTTAGAAAGTGGAGGAAAAGAACAAAATTTGTTAAAAAAAGAAAAAAAACGGCGACTTAAAAAAGCTTTGAAGTAGATTGTGTATATGCGGAAATTTAACACGGTGCGTGTTAAGTGGGGGTTTATACATCCGTATTAAAATGAAATTAAATAAAGTTTTTAAGCCCGCAGCGGCCAAAGAAGCGGAATGCGTTAAACATTAATCAATAGACCATTCAATTGTGCCGTTGAATTTTGGCACGGACCTTGTTTTTATATGGAGAATATAAAAAAATATCCTAGATACTTTTAATTTGCACTTTAACATACTGAAATTGCATGGTAATTTAATCAAAATCTTTCTAAAAAATCATATATGTAATACTCCTCTATTGGCAGTAAGAGCTAGTACCGTCCGAAAACACTACAGTACAGATATATCAACAAACACGTACGAAAGAAAAGGAACACATACGTTTATAAATAAACATGTACACAACACATATACAAAAACGGCACTCAAGTACACGATACATTGACAAAAACGGTACTAGACTGTCTCGCTTTGATTTCGGAATGCTTACACATTGAGAAGTTAGCTTACTGCCAATATAGAAGTATTACATATATGTAAAAATATAATTAAAAAGCTCGCAATTGTTATGAAACTTTGTCAAATTTTCTTAACTTTTGTACAAAAATTGAAGTTTGGACACATTTGGTTTTTGATATCTATCTGCAATTTTCATAAAAATGAGATTCTAATATAGAAATCCAAATAAGACTTAACTGTCATCAGTGATATTAATGCTGACCTTGCATAACGATTGACAGAAGAATTTACTATTAGATTGCAAAGCATGATTCAATTATTAAAGGTTTTGTAAGTAGCTTTTTTCTAAAATTTGGCACTCCCACCCACAGGGATGGTTTATGGAAGCAGGGGAAAAAGGGGAAGAATTCAATCACACTTCCTAAAATGGGAGGTAAATTCCATAAAAAGGTGTGGATAATAGTGAATGGTGGTATTTTAAAACAAAAACGAATTTGATTTAATTATTTAATTTAAACAAGCTTATTTACATCGAATATAACCCCCGATTGTTATTGAAAATAAATATTTCTATGTATATACCAAACTTGCGTACGTCAGATGGCGCATAACTCGAGAATGGATGGTCCACTTTCAGCTTTTTTTTGTTGTATTTGTTTGACAGATGATGGATATGAAGAAGCTATTTGTTTGTGGAAAATATGCAGTATTTATTAAACAAAAAAAAACGGCAAATAAAAAAATTTGGAGCTTAAGTTTCCTTCGCGGATATGGCTCGATTGTTTCGAATATGGTAATTCGAATTCTTTGATGTCGCACTTTTAATATTCTGGGGAGACTATACAACTGTCAGAATATTAACCATTCGCCGGGTTGCCCGAAAAAAAAATATGAATGATTAAAAATATCAAAATATAAAAAAAATATAAAAATATTCGCCATAAAAAGGCGTTTGCATTCTACTTTCAACTAATCGCTTTCAACAAAGTTGGTCGCCAGCCAACATTCGCCTCGTGCGTAAACCTTTTAAGTGTGCAATTACATACATCGCGCCATTGACTAAACCGAGCTGTCGTGTGACGATTGGGCCTATGGATGCGGTTTGGCAATATTATATTGCGTCAAAGCCTCATTCGGAGACACCAGGAGTGTGTTGTGGAGGACAATACCTAAATACCTTCGTTGGCTCATTTACCAAAACCATTGCATGCTTTACTTTACAGCGACTTGGCAGAATCAAGAGGTCTCCACGAATATCGACAAATATATTTCGGCATTTAAGAGAATTTCGTCTCTTTAGCCTACATTGAATTTCTGTAGTCCAACGATGCTCACACATTTTGTCTTGTTGGCGCCAGCGAATGAAGAACAAACATTTCTTCAAATTTAAAAAGTAAAAATTTCACTACTAACAATTTAAAAATGTTCTTAAAACTTGCAAAGATATTTGGAAAAGAAATATCACTGTTTTTGTTTTTAGGAGTATGGTGGGAGTGTCATTGATAAAATTAGAGCGAGAGAAAGTTTTTCTTACAAAACCTTTCATTGGGCACGTACAGAAGGCGCAACAGCTCAGTAACTGGTGCGATTGCACCTTCTGAACGCGATGTTGTGTACTTCTGATCAGCTAAACAGTTGCGTGTTAGATGATCGTAATATTTTCGGAATTTAACAGCTAATGTATCAAGCCGTTCAGAAGACACATTACGATCACAGATTTTTTTAGCAACGGTTGCGCTCAACTGCTGCGCCTTCTGAACCTACCCATTATTGAATCATGATTGCAAAGTCAGATTTAACATCAATGATGACAGGTAAGTCCCAGGTGGGTTCTTACATCACAAAGTAGTTTTTGTGAAAATTGCAGATAGAGGGTATTGAATATAAGCCCTCGATATGCTTTCATAAAAAAATAATAAACATTGAATAAACAAAAGAAAAATAGCCAAAACTTGCTGAAGTGTTACGTTCCTATTTATGTATATTTTTGCCAGTGTATACACGCGTTTTTTCAATGTATATTAATATTTTATGCGTAGGTCTATTATTTGTAAACTCATGTGTAGCAAACAAACTGTGCTACAAATTTTGTGATGCCCCGAAGGCATTATTAATTGTTAGTTTAAGATGATATAAAAAGGATTTTATGACTTGAAATTGTTTTTTTTTGAGTCAACATAATAAAGACCATTTACAGCCGTAAAGCCAATATTGAAATACGTGTTTCTTTGGAGGTAATTTTAAATGGAGATTTCTTGAAATGGAAAAGATTTTTTAAGCTTTAAAATCTTATTTTGATGGCTTTTTTTTTGAAAAAAAACTAAGATTTTTAGGGGTCTTTCTCTATAAACACTGGTAGTAGGTCCTAACACAAGTGGGGAGGAGCTCGGGAAAGAGATGATAGGAATGAAAGAATGACACTGGCGGAGCTAAACATGAATGATATAAACTCAAGTGATACAGGACACTGAAGATTGAAGCTGAAATTATTCAAGAACGCAGAACGTATACTTAAACGCAGTCTGTATACGCAGAATTTTGTCCATTACTGGAGCCCTCAGTTTTGCTTACTACAGTGTTGGCACTCATCAATGCCATTTCATAAACTTGCCTTTTCAACTAAAATTTTTTGTGCTATAATAGATCGTAGTTAAACTACTTAGTTTTCAACAAAAAACCTTATTCAATAGTAAATTTCAAATATTTTAAACGTATTTTGAATAAGAAATTATAACTTCTTTACCATCTGCAAAACAGACGAAGTGGCAACCATCTATAGAAGGAAAAAATCAGTTGACACGGAAAAATCTAAGTTCCGCAGATTTCTGCGTTACGGGCTACAACTTCAGAAAAATTTTGCGGTGTTGAGTTTTCATTTAAATGGCGCTCTGGTAAAGCAGATCGTGTCAGCTGACTCAGGTTTACGTACCGGTAGGTTTACATTCTTGACTAATTTCAGCTTGAGAAGCCATCTGAATAAGTTAGCAGTTTCGTGTCCGTTACTTTTGTGATATAGCCAATGAGACATTATTGCACCTATGCCGTGAGTCTAAGAAGAGTCTAGGCTCACTGTGGCTAAAAGAAAGCACTTACACTCCCAACTCCTTTTCTAAACTTTTTAGAGACTTACGCATCAAACGAAGTGTTGTGGGGCACAACATATGCGACGGAGTGCATATTTGACCACTTGTCTTATCGACATACATATCTAATTCGAATTTTCAATCGCCACATGCAAATCTAAAATATCCAATCTCAAAAAACATTCGGATTCTTACCTCGAATATCTTTGCAGCCTTCAGCTCATATTCCGCAGACTTTGCGGCATTTCCTGCCTTCTCATGGAATTCTGCAATCATTTTTGCATTCCAATACAATATTGCATTCAATTCTACGGGCACAATGGAGCGTGTTTTCAGAGTTGTTAAATCACCATCGCTTGTGCCATTTTCGTTTATAAACCAACGCGAACTGAAATCCATGCCAGACTCAGCACCAGCCTTTAACTCGCAATAATGTTGCTCCTTCTCCTCGTCTGTTTGGAAAAATTGCGACGTCTCGACGTCTTCACGATAGGATTCTGGACGTGGACCGGAGGAACTGTCACGATAGATTGCAACATCGTAACCTTTCGCCTGCACGATATGATTATTCATCCAATATTCAAATTCATGCTCCAAAATATCCAAAGAATCCACAGCAAAACTGTAGTCTTTCGTGAATTCAACGTAAGACTTAACCATACCCGTCAGTAGTGGCGGTTGTGAACGGCCGAAGTAGTACACGCGACCACCATTCGGTATGAAACCGAATCTTTGTACAATGGACAGGAAGTTTTCGATCATGCCGCGTGCCGTTTCGTACATCTCTGAATAGAGCAAACCGCGTATGACCCAATAGGAGTCCCAATAGTAGAATTCAATGAAACGTCCACCTGGCACAATAACTGGATGATCGACTGGTATGATGGAATAATATTCTGAATTCTTGTGTACATCATCGATCATTTTGCGACCCAACTTTTTCCAGATAACATTCAAATCGGAGCCCCATTGCTTGAGATCAGGATCGTTAACCATATCTAAGAATTCGGGATGCTCCTTCCAATCGTCCGGCGTCCATGGTTCGAACTCTTTGCCGCGCTCTTCAAAGTGTGTCTAAATAGTAGATAAGAAAAGAAAAATACAAAAAAAGAACACATTATAGAAAAAAGAGCACAAGAAAAAGGAAATCAGTTTAGTTGCACCGGCAAAAATGTGAGCTCTATATAAACATGAACATACATCAACAAAGTCTTGTATTTCCGCTTCGGTGGGGGTATTATTCTTGGCAGCCATGAATTCGTTGAAATCCTGCAACGTTTTATCCGGATGATTTCTTAGCTTCATGTCCACAAAAGTTTTGGAGTCCTTGTAAAGGTGCGCCATTTGTATGGTGTGCAGCAGCGGTCCATGGCAATAGATTTGACTGGTAAGAAACAAAAACGAATACATTAACCATTTTAGGCAAACGCGAATGGTGAACCAAATTTGTGTGAGCACCAATCCCACAATCCTGTTTGGTATGCAGCTAGGCCAGGCACTCTAAATGAAAGTGAAGGCGCTATGAATAATATATAGTGCGTATCATAACTTTACGACATTTACATATTGACAAGATTTGACCACTTGTCTTAATATTTTTTATTTTTAATTATTCATTTATATAAATATAGTTTATCTTTTAACAAAAACCATATATCGATGGCTGAGTGGAAGATCGACCTATCTCGACAACCAGTTCGAAAACGCCCTAGCTCTGAAAATTTTTCAACAACGCTTTATTTCAGAATTTCGTTGAAGAACGCCCTATTTCAGAAATCTCAAACGAAAATACATTGAAAATGTGCTGAGATAGGGCATTTTTGAATCGGCAGCTGCGATAGGGTGTTTTTGAACCGAATTCTGAGATAGGGTGTTCTTCAACCAAATTCTGAGATAGGGTGTTTTTCAATAAAAATCTGAAATAGGGTGTTTTTCTATTGAATTCTGAAGTAGGGCGTTCTTGAAAGTTTTTTGGAGATAGGGCGTTTTCGAACAGGCTGGCGAGATAGGTCGATCTTCCACTCAGCCATCGATATGTAAATCCAAGTTTCAATCTTTCATACAAATACCGAGCTTTTTAATTCGAATTTTTAGAAATATTTAAATTAGCTGGGACTTATATTACGTTCAAATTGGCCGCATTTAACTTGTTAAATGAAAAAGAGTTTTTTGTAAAACACAATCGTCCACATTGAACATATGGATTTAACTTTGACGGTTGTTTGATTTCAAATAATAATTTAAAAAAAATATCAAAAATAAATTTGTTTTGTGCGAATGTCTGCTTCATGATATTACCGCATACGGATTACTTCAAAATGTTTAGTATGTATGCACCATTTATCTCTGCGTACGATGAGACCTGAGGGGAAATAACTGATTACCGCCTTGACCCCTTTTCTGGCGGGCAGACATGCATACAATTTCGATATTTTTTGATAGTTTTTAATTTTTATTATTTTTGAGAATTTAAATTTTTTGAACGTTGGCGTGTCAAATGAAAGCTTGCGGCTCCTTCTGAGTGGCTGAAGCAGAAAGCTTTCTGATGCAACTCTGCGCTGAACTGGTTTTCAAACGAGTTAAATGATTTAACTGGTTAAATTTTCCAACAACAATTGCATGCGATTTAATTTGTTTTTAAACACGTTTTGTGCATTTAACTGGTTCAAGCCCATTTAACATGTTTAACTCGTCAATTTGAACGTAGTATTACCGTTGATTTTTGGCAATCGTTTTTTGTTGACGATGCCAGTTATTTGCTTCCATTCAAAGTATGTTCGACGATTTTTTATATGGAGAAAATGAGCAACACCTTCAATAAAAAAAAAATTCTCAAGAATTAACGGTAAGGTAATATTTCTGAAAAATCGAATTTAAAAATTCGAATTTTTTACGCAAGTTTGTTGATTTTTTTTAAATGTTGCAACCATATTTTTATAAACAAATAATTAAAATTAAACAAATTATAAGATAAATGGTAAAATTTTGTCAATATGTGAGTGTCGGTAAGCACTATATTTATAGTTTGTCTAGAATTGGGCAACGAATCCATTAACTCAGAGAGGTGGGTGTCATAGTTGTGCCACGTAATAATTTGATATCTGACTTCAAGTATTAACATTTTGAAACTTTTCAAATTTATGGTTAAAGAGAAATTACTTAAAGTTTCAGCAAAAACGAGTTAAGATGTACCACCCGTCACTTTGGAATGCCCCTTACATATGTAAATAAAGTATTATGGCTATGCCTGACTTGTAAAAAGAACTTTCTAGAATTGTTTTCATTTAAGCGGTTTTGTTATGCACATTTGCTTTTACATACTCGTAGCTATTGTATTACGTTGGACTTGGTGCAGGTAAAAGCTTCCTTATATCCATTTATTTCTTATATACAACTTTTTTATATGCAATAAGTACTGCATTTGCTTTGTAAAACTTTTTTTCTTAAAGAATTTTTATACAAAATCTGCTTTAAAATTACTTTTGGATAATACCTAGCAAGTCGACTCATTTTAAGCCCGTAGAGAAGGGTAAATAAATAAACGAAATATGTATACATATATAGGAAACGATTTAAGGTTATAAATACACAATTTTTCATAAAGAGCCCTTTCTTAAAAATTGTGATATGATGAGGAATTTTCGTTAAATTTCTATTAAAATAAATCAGGCAAATCAACTTACGAGTATCTCCTAAATATTTTTGTGCCAGTGTGTCGTTTGTTTTTTAGCGAAATGTGACAGTTAATTAAAAATAAATATCAAAACTAAAATAAATATCAAAATTAAATTTGCTTTTATATGTGCATACATGCATACGTAGTAATCAGTGTTGCCACGAGCTTGCAAAAAAATTTATCAATTGCTAAGCTAAAAAAGTATCAAAACGTATCAAAAGTAAATATGTACAATAGTTTTACATTTTTTTTTCGCCAGTAACACTACTTTGTGTAAATTCGCCTTGGTTGTGAGGTAATCTCAATATTTTGGAAACGAATTCAAAAATATTTTTATTAGTATCAAAATTTGGCATTTGTGAAAAAAGTGGCAAAGTATGAAATTACAAATTTTTTAAAGAAAAGTATCAAAAATGATACAATTGTATCGAAACGGCAACGCCGGCAGTAATTTTTCTGTTTTTCATTAACCTGTCACAACGCGAAATTTTCGCGTTAAAAATGCATTTTTTATTTAACAGAATAATTGACAACGTTTCCTGTGGCTAAATCTAATTATATTGCATTAGCAATAAATACAAGTAATGTGTACATTTGTAGATATGTGTAAATGTGTTAGTACTTATTTAAGTAAGTTAATGGCTCCTGTATCGACTAAAAATTGAAATATAAAAAGCAATTTTTATGATGTTTTCTCTTACACTCCCACCCAGAAATACATACTAGTACATCACAAAATTTGTATTGCGCTTCTAAATACATACTTAACTAATTTGCACTTCTACACAATTCGGTGCTCGTTTATTTCAAGCTGACAGCGGGAAATTACTTGCAAATTGTTAAAAATTTTCAACTTTTTAATTTCACCTTGAAATTGTTGAAATTCTGGATACGTAGTATTACTAAAGTGCGATAAGTAAGAATGACATGCATTTCAAAGCTTGAGTGTATGGGAAAGTACATATATGTGAAAATGATTTTTTGTAACAAATTAATTAGGTATAGTCACGTTAGCTTTTCGGTTTTACAGCTATTCAGATTTTGGTAGAATTGTAGAATCACACTTTTGGAGGTCATATTTTTACTATATAATATTTTCTATTTTCTTTAAAGAAACTTATTTATTGACTAAACGATTTATTCAGTTATGTACATACATGCCAAGTCCACTTTTTCTAAAAAGTTATATTTTGATACAAGAGGCAAGAACAATCAAAAATACATCATTTCCTTATACGGTGTTCACATGGGGCGATTTTACAGGCAAATTTAGAGGCGATTAGTGGAATCATAAGTTGGCTGCCCCCAACTTCATTGCTAAGTCCAAAATAGTAACAGAAAATGTGATCAGTCCCAAAGAATACAAAAATCGATTGAAGTGGTTTTTTTCTCTCCTGTAAAATTAAAAAAACTGGACTTCGCAGCTAAGCTAGCGATATGCATTTTCTTATTAGGTTAAACTCGCCTCTTAATAAATAGCTCATTTCAAGCTCGGATAGTCAAAGTTGATTTTTTTTTCTACTCCATCTCCACTAGTTCTAATTTTCTGACAAGTGCTTTCACTGCTCTTAATCTTCGAAAAATTGTTTGCTTATTTTCTCTCTAATTCGACAAAAAAAATACTCTACTGCCGAATTTCCACCAGGCATTGAAATGATGAGAAATGTGAGTAACGAATTTATGTGATGACAATTTTTCTTAGCGTAACGGCACACAGTAGTCGCAGAAGCCATGTTTTACGCGAAAAATTGGATGGTTGTTACGATTATAATAAAAATGCAGGATCGCAGTATTTTTGTTATGCTAAATCCGAATATGCCTTACAATTTTAAGTTTGGCAGTTGACAGCTGTCAAATCGAACGCCAAATTCTCTTAAAATACGAAAATCATTTTGAAAATACAACTGATTAGGTTTTTAGGTACACTAGTCACGAATTTTATGTCCAATTAAAACAATTGACATATGTCAAATGGACCGAGAATTTCTCTAAAAATTAGACAATCTTTTTAAAAATGCCCCTGATTAGGTTTTTAGACATGCTGAACACGAGTTTCAGTTGAAAAAAAAGAAAACTTTCCCAAGAAATAAACGAACTAAGTTTTAAGGCTCACTGATCTCTAGTTCTATATCACATTCAAACTTTTTCAGTTGAAAACTGTCAAAATGAACTATCATTTTTAGTTGAGTAAAAAATATATTTGTTTAGCAAAATTAATGATTTATTGTATTCGAGGGAGCATAGTTATAAATGGGGAATAGTTGGAGCCATCTGCTAAAAGTTGAGCCCTTATTTTTTAAGCTTTTTTATTTGATACGAAATTCGTAATTTCCAAAACTTCAGTTTTCTTATTTTTAAATAAATTATTCAGGTTTGAAAATTCAAAAATTTATTTAACTCTCGGACACCATATTCGATTTTGCAAAAACTGGTCTGAAATTTATAATAAGCGAACTTAGGAACCTCTAAATACCAAATTTCACGAAAATTCAATAATTTTTAAATTCTTGGGCGCCATACTGGGTTCGCTACTTTGGATTTTTGAACATTGACTTCAGGTTTGTTAAGATACATCTAATAAATTATGTGGTGCTAAATATATAATAAAAATTACATTAATTCTTAATGTTTTAATACACTTTATGCTATGTGAAACAACTGCTAAAGTTGGTCTAGTGAAATAAAAACTTTTTGGCGCCAGTATGCGC